GTGTGTGTGTGTGTGTGTGTGTGTGTGTGTGTGTGTGTGCGCGTGCAAACCCTTGGCAAGTGCAGATCGAATTTTGACAAGACGAAAATTGATTCCCAGGCTCCACACGCAGGTGTTGTAAGGTCTAGTGTGGTGAGGAATAAAACCAGATCCCGAGAAGAGAGCAATAACACATCCATAATGCATTGTACGCAACCGTATGCTGCGTCGTTCAAGCCAACAATACCGGATTTGAGAATACACACTGTACCCGGAGGGTGCAYGGTGCCTTTTACGGTGAAGTGTTCAGCCACGAGCGAAAAAATGTAGTTTTCTCCATCAGCAACAACCCAAAAACAAAAAAAAGGCAGCTAAACTCACCACAAACAGAAACAAACCTGTCGCTGAAGACACTATCAAACTTACCCGTACTCCTGGCATTTTTTTTTTTCGTGAGTGGGTGAGGGGGAGTGGGTGCGAAGGGACATTTGGCAGCGGGCWGAAGAAGGGAAGAGGCACGGGGAGAGTAAAAAGAGCTGACAAAGTGAGGAGCGAGCACACTCCGGCAGCCTCGCGAGCCACCGCGGGCACAACAATAACGCAATGCGAGGACAAAAGAAGAAGAGGAGAATGGAGAGGAGAGTCGTCGAATGTTCCCATCAGAGAGGAGTCTGTCACTCGCGCGCTGAGAGACGGCTCAAAAAGGCTTTCCAAATAAAAAAAAATCCAAAGACACTTTCGCGCCGAGGGACGGCTGTGAAAGGTTGAAGCAAAGAAATAAAAGCTTTGCTGGTTTCTAATTGCGCGCTTTGTGAGTCTTGCCTCAGTTGTTGGGCGCACTAGAGTACCTGCAACTTTGACTGATGTGCACTCTGTAAACAGTTACAGGATTTGCTACATAAATGACTGGTCTCATGATGAGCATTCAGTTTCCCCTTCACTTGTTGACGATCTACGATTCAGGTCAAATGTCCCTCGGCCATCTCTCACACCTCTCTCTCTCTCTCTCTCTCTCTCTTTCTTTCTCCCCTGATGTCCATTCCCTTCTCATGTCTTTGTGTGCAGCAATCAACCTGCTGGGTCTGACGTGGCAGCTGAAGCCCTCTGAYGGGCCCCTGTTAAACAACGGACTTGGAGCTGGTCTGCCTGTCAACAGTGATGTGGCCACACTGCCCTCTGGAGGCAGAGGTATGAACTGTGGAGCTAAMCCCCCCCCCCCCCCCACACACACACACACACGCATACACACACACACACTTTCAGAGGCACACTCAGCACGTGGCAGAGTAGTCAGCATATTTGTTTAYAGCTTTAGCATGGTTCTGTGCACCACAGAGCTCAGTTTTGTTGGAAACATATAAGAAATACTTAAATGGGTCACAGGGTGATATGATTATTTATTATATTGTGTGGAAACAACGTGCTTTTCTTCATATAACACTCTATATATACCAGGTGAAAATATTTGTCCGTGACCAAAGTAAAATCCTCGCACGCTTTATATTCCTATATTTGCGGTATAAAACGGGGTTCGTTGCATTTTCCTACCCAGTCGTTTCCACYGAGTTGAAATATTTCTGCCGTTTGTGACGCGGTTCAGGATGTGCCGTTTAAACACTACAGGTTGTGCCGAGCTGGGTTTATTTTATTTTATTTTATTTTTTTCAGCGAGATAAAACTACCCTCACTCAGCCACTCTCTTTAAAGGCCCCCATGCGGCTTTTCTATCTGTTCTTCTTTCAGTTGCTCGATCCGGCTCTGCAGCACACCCAGCATGTGCTRTGGATGTGTTTGGGCTGGTGCTCTGTGTCTGTATTCTGCATTAATGAGAGGACTGTTGTGTTGTGTTCCCCAGCCGTCGAGGCCAGATGCTGCTGTTGTTCTTCTCACTGTTGCTTTTATTTCTTCGCCGCTCCGCGCACGCAAACACACACATTCTCGCACACACACATCCACACACACACTCTCTCCCTCTCTTGCACTCAGTCTTTTTCTGTCTGGGCGCTGACACTTCTCTGTTAGATGGCTGACCTGATTGCAGGATGCTGTGTGTCTCTGTGTACTCTGAATTCTCAGCTCCACGSTTCTGTCGGCCCGCCATCATTTCAGCCCACACAACACAGTTAACAGTCCTGTGGACCTTTGAAGCACAAAGTGTCATTCTCCGATGCACCATCAGATGTGCATGAAAAAAATAATAAAATAAAACAAAAGAAAAGTTTGGGCACCCTGATCACAAGATCTACTTTTTTGTGTAGCTTTTATTTTTCTTAAAAGCTCAATGTTAAAAGTAGGGAGTTACTTTTCTAAACTGCTACCATAATGTGTTTCAAAACACCAAAAAAGAAAGTAAAAATCTTTGCTTACTGACATATTTTTAACCAACTATCCCAGCTTGTAAATGCTTTTTTCTTGCCAGCCGAAACAGCTTTTGCTTTGCTGCTTTTCTGCCAGTCATCCTTCAAAAGCCTCGTTCTTTAAAATACTTAGGCTTTCTGGTCTGAGTTGCTCTTGTGATGCCTATCTGTAAATTCATGATGACACTGTGGCCATGTGACTGAAAGCCACGATGAAACATTTAACCTGCACTCCTTGATGGATTCTGTTCTGCATTTTCATTTGTGTCACTATCAGTATCTTGTTGTTGAGGCGATATTTCATGGCACATTGTTTTTGCAGATGTGATTTAAATTTGCACAACAATCAAACAATAATTTGTGTTTTTTTTTTAGTATAGTAACATTTATAAAGAATCCAATTAAATTAGGTTAGAAGACCGTAGAGAATTATTTAATCTGGTTGTTCTTGTTGCAGTTAGGGCACTTCACTTTATTTCACTTTAGACTTTAAACAAATTATAAAAACACATTACTATTCTAAAACAATAAAAATGTGTTCAGCATTCATTAAGTAGAAAATGATTTTTTTTTTTTATTCGCAGCATTGCAGATAAGGAATAGAAAGGAAAAACTTTTAAACTTGTGATGATTACTGGGATGGTTCTATGCAAATGTTTACAATAAATATCTTACCTGTTGTAGATGGCTTTTTGAACAAACAGTTTGGTAAAATAAAGGTAATATTGACCAAACAGATGAGATCATTTCTAGTCCAAGCAAGGCCAAGAATTTAAAGAATAGAATGTACTGGAAGTGCTACAGCTAGATGATACTGCTGCTATTTGTGCTTAAAAATAACCACGTAATTGTATGCACACATGTGTGAAATTGATGGAAATGGTAAATAGCTTTCACATAAACCACTATAAAAATTATTAGTCTTAATCCCACCTGGACTAGCTGTTAGCTTACAATAGCTATGAGGTCAGACTAGCTGTTGGTTAGCTAGAACTAGCTTTTAGCTTGGTTCAATAAGAGCTTGCCTTGAACTAGTTTTTTGTTTGAGCAAGCTGCTAGCTTCTTTGTTTGGTCAAAATTCAGCTCTATTTCTCCAAACTGAAGTAATTCAAAGAGCTATTTACARCAGTTAAGTTATTAATTTTTGATCATCTTTGCACACAAGCCCATTTATCAAAATCCGACCAATTTCTTGGAGTTTAYATCAGTGTCAGCTTTTCCTAAATCGCATAAATTGCTTTTCCTCTTCGCTCCAGGTCCCTGGGCAGGCCGGAACAGTAGCATAGACAGCGGCAACATTGAGGTGGGGAGGCGGGTGACCCAGGACGTCCCTGCAGGAGTGTTTTGGAGATCCCTGCTCTATCTTGGCCAGCCTCAATTCCTCAAATTCAACATCTCCCTCGGCAAGGACGCTCTGTTCGGAGTTTACATTCGCAAGGGCCTGCCTCCGTCACACGCACAGGTAACACCTGCAACGTCCACTCTCAACACCAGCAGGGTAATGGGGTAAACACATACCTATTGTTTTATTCATTACAAATGCTTCTTAATGAGTGAGGAATATTTATGTTTCTCAGTTTGGGTAGAATACATAAAAAACTTTTTTTTGTTATTGAACATCTAAAATTCATTTGYGAATAATTACAATAGCTTTTTTGTGGGGGGGATATGCAGACAGTGATTTACACYTAATTAAATTTCACTGTAATGTAACTTCTACTGGCACTTTTAATTGGAAACTTCTCAACTAAAAAGAGATTTTATTTATAGGGAGGGGTCAATTCCATTTTGTTAACTGTTTCACTCCTTAACCTAACTTTAGCTTCTGAATATGTCATGCTGATGCAAAAAAGGAAATAAAAAAAGAGAAAAGTAATCTGTTTCAGTGATCTTTTTACAGAAATGACAGTTCACATCAGCTCTGTGTTGAACTGCTTGCACTTTCTTGGCAAATTCAATCGCTAAAGTGATCATAATCTCCTCTTTCTCTCTATTTAGGAGGCGTGCAAATTTGCAAAGCTCAAAAGGAGTTACTTTCTTGCAGACGTGCCTAAAACATTTTGTTTGTAGTCTAGGCTTTTCTCACTTACCTGCATTAGCAGAGTTTAACACATTTGCAGAAATTCTGCCAAATGGCTGGTTTTTGAAAAGTACAAATAAACTGTAGGCAGATACCTGATGCTTCACCACTTTCACTCAGTTAGTTGATCAATCAGAGCAGATTTAGGTCTCGGGAAGAGATCCTCAAAAAGACGGGAAATTGCGCACACACACACACACACACACACACACACACACACACACACACACACACACACACACACACA